GACGGTGTGCATAGTAGTCAAGGTCTCCACCGCCGAGTCAATGTTGCCTTTACCGGGGAAAACGAATGCACAGTTGAACGATAGACTCTTCAAGCGAGGTAGGGAGGATATTAGACGACCGAGAGATGCCCCGAAGTCTTCCTGGGCGAGACTGATACACGACGACTTCAGTTCGAGAGCCTCCAACTGGACAGGCCACAAGGAGACCTGAGAATAGCGCACTGAAACCTATCTAAAGCCTACGAAGTGTAAGGCTAGAGTTACATCGTTAATTCCGAGTGTCTCCAGCATACGTGGTGTGGTGAATCGGGAACTGTCAAGGGAGAGGCTCCTCAGATGTGGGAAGACTAAAATGAAGATAAGACTACAACAGCGAACGCTGAACCAGTACGAATCACGAGTAGCCAAATTTCTAACACTGACGGTTTGAATCCCTCAGCATCATCTACCTTCCTGCAGAGGCCATGTATACTCCTTGTTCACAGCGGCTCCTTTGATGAAATACTTCAAGTCCTCGAGAGCTCCCAGCCCTGCGAGCGACTCCACAGGAGCATTGCCGACTAACTCGAGTCGCTTGAGGTTGGGCATCCTCCTCGAGATGATATTCACATCGATCGTCGCCCCGCAGCCCGAGATGACCAGCTCTCTTAGACTTGATAGTCGGTGTAGTATACATAGGAACTGATTGAAATCCTCGTCAAACTTGATACCAACCAAACGCAGCTTCTCCAAAGACGCACAGCAGTTGACAACGTAGGCTAAACCAGAGAGATTCAGCTCCTTAGTGCTCGGCGAGTTTAGGGCGAGACTGGTTACATTGGGGCCGACACCGTTTCTGAAGACGGTCAAGAGAGCTGGCAGACTGTGAAGCCGTGACACGGTGGTGACACGAGCGACTAGCGGTAGGGCTAAGCGTCCTTGCAAGAGCTGTTGGTGACCATTCAGTGTTACATTGGGTAGTACAAGAGCTCCGTCGTGATGGACCCAGGAGAAGAACCTCGAGTTGCACAGAAGGAGTTGTAGAACGTCGGGGGACTCGAGGAAACCGTATATGGAAATGAAAGGGAGGCAATCGATGACAGTTTCGAAGCCTGACGGATCGTGGGTTAGCATCATAAAACTGCTACAATAGAGTTGATAAGAAATCTTAATCCATCGGTTGAGCGCATCGATAGTAATGGCGCACGCGGAAGCTCTGCCACAGTTTTGCTAATATCGATACGATCGAAAACAATTATGGTATGATTAACCATGACTATAGTGGGAAACTCGGAAGATGCACATTCCAGCAACTTCTGGTTCAGCACCTTCTGTTCATATTGCCCAAGCGTGGTTCAGCTTATTCTTTAGAAATGAGGATTTCCCCCGACCGTTTTGCTCTATACTAACTGGTACTACCAGTCTGGTAGCAGCATGATCAATTAAGCAAGGTTAAGGTTTGATTTCTCTCCTATGATTGTGTTGAACGATGATAATCTCGACAACTCCCCCAACACGAGTAACGAGTCCGTAATGGCCAATGAGCATAACAGCCCGAGATTTTCTGATATTCCGCAACTTGTTGCGACTATCCGCAACACCCTGAGCCACGGTTCTCCCTTACCGAGCGCTATTATTTCTTCCCAATTCTT